TCTCCTATTACCCCGAGATGGGACCGTCTGGTTGCAGAAAATCAAGCTCGGGGCTGTGGTGAGTCGTCATTTTCATGCACTTTGAATTTGCATTGTGTCGTATTTTGAAGGCATTAAACATTACCATAGCGATCAGAGTGTTGCGGCCAGATTAGACGCTCCTTGTGTTTATTATTATATTTCGAAAACACCACAGTTTTCATGCAGCTCATAACATATTATTTTGTTGTATTATTTCCGCCACACCTTAAATGCCGGTCCCTGAAAATATTGTCTGACATAAACCGGTCCGTGGGGCAAAAAAGGTTGGGGACCCCTGCTTTAAGCCAGCTGTAGCAAAAGGTACTCCTGGCCAACCTTTACGAAAGGCGATTACCCACAATTCTTTAGGGCAGCAACAAGAGAGCAACGTAGTCGAGGGAACACGCAAAGACGCTTGTGTTTCATGCTCAAGACTTTAAAAATAATTAGAAGAAAGTAAAAATCCCATTTAACAAATGGAATTAAAACGTTTTGTGGATAGTCAATGAAACCACGAAATATACGTTCAAGGCAAAAGGAAAGAAGTGGTCCTACACAAACAGAAATAAAGCTATAAACATCTTTCCATAATGTATTAGAGAATGTCCAAAAGCAACGAAAAACATAATCAGTCATCCTTGACAAAACATTAATATCTGTATCTTTTTCATTTAATAATTAGGCTCATACTTTGCAGGTCCACAAGCTGGAGACTTACATCAGCAATACTCGTCGTCGCGCAACGACATCATTTCGGAAGAGTGGAGTCAAATTCATTTGAAACAGTGCCGTCCTTTCCTTTGTTGGTAAATAAGCTGACATCATCCAACAAAGGTGGCATAAAGGTTCGGAGATTGGACTTTCCGAAAAGGCCCTAGAAGACTTCGGAAAGAAGAACTTCAGGACACAACCTCTTTAAGTCCTGAATGTCAAAACAAACCAAAACGAAAGCCTTCGAAAGAAGAAACAGAAGCTCAAGGCTCGAATCTAAGACTAGCTCCTCCATAAGAAAACATCACCTTTTTTAAAAATCCTAATCTTGGTTTTCACGCTATTCGATAACTAACTGAAGACGTCTTCCATGGTACCGATTTGCAAATAAAGTCAAACAGCCATCTTAAAAAAAAATATTGACTCATCATTGAGCGGAGAGACAGCAACGCTATTCAGAGGCCAGTTTCAAGACCGTGTTTTGTTTTCAACGAATTCACACATTTGACTGCGTGTTAGGAAGATGAACACACGTTGAGGATACGTACCCGTGAAAGCTCCGAGCATATTCATGAAGCCTAAAACACAAAAATAAGACAAATGAATACTTCAAATAACTTCTTGAGCCGCTTAACAGTGTTTACATTGTTCCAAAAAGCAGGACGTCTCAAACGGCTCAGGTCTAGGAAGAGATTTTTTTTTTTCTTCTAAATACATGATACACGTTAGAAGATAAATGCTGAAAACATGTACAAAGACTGAGAACTATGTGGTACTGAATTGTGGCGATACTTCAGTTTTAAGATTTTGGGCATTTTTGGTTAAAATGGGGCCCAGTAATGCACTTTGGGTGTCCGGCATAAGTCGACCCTTCGCCACTTTGGAACAATGCACCGTTATGCAGTACATATGCGACAGCCTTTTCCTGCATGACTGCTTCAGAGCAGAGTTTTATTCTATTATTTATTCATGCATGATATTTATTATTATTTTGTTTTCAATATTTTTTTTAAAGTATCATTTGACAATCAGTGGGTGATCAGGGGCTTCATGCTGGCATGCCACTTTAGAGCGCCTTGTTGTTGTGCTGTGGAAAAGCCCTGCCACAACCCGGTGTTATATACTTTATTCCAGGCGCCAGAGGTTTTTAACGGATATAATTTGGATGCTCAGTCATGTAGATGTGTGTAGGCATCAACTGAAGCCTCAATTTACATGACCGTTTATTTAAATCATCGCCAGTCATTGCGCAATAATTCTGTGAGGTTCCGACTCACGGGCCCAGTTTGAAAAACACTGCCTTCGAGTCACCAAGCCGACACGTGACACATTCATCCATCAAGATGTCACAAGGAGCCACATGCTCCACTCACCAAAGAGGGCACCGGCCCGTGAAGGAGTGAGATCCTGCACATTCACAGATGCACCACTGCAATGCACGAAAAGTTATCAGCGAAACACAGCATGATCTGGCACACAGGTAAAACATACATGAATTTTTCTTTTGAGTGGGTAAGTAAAAACAACCAACTGAAATAACGTGGTTGCACAAATGCGCACACCCTCTTATGACTGGACCAGAGGGAGGGAACTCCGGTTCCTCGAGAGCCATATCCTGCCTGTTTTTGATCTCTGCCGACTCCAACATACCTGATTCAATTGATCATGCTCGTTTCCGGCTTCTACAGAGCTGATCGTTTGACTCAATGTGTTGAAATCGAGAGAGATCTAAAAAAGGCAGGATATGGCTCTCGAAGAACTGGTGTTCCCGACCCTTGGACTGGAACAAACTATACTGTACAGTCCACCAAATAAAAGTAACTGTATAGTGATTAAAGTGTAGGGGATGAGTGATCGTATTCTAAATTATTCACATATTCCCTACTCCCTAATCACTATTTAGGGATTTTTATGGAAATATCTAGGTCCACTCTATAACAATCCCGGCCTATAGGGATTGAGTGAACAGCTTGACTCCATTTGAAGACCAAAACAATGTTTATGCATCTGACCACAAACAACTTTTCCCACAATATTGAAATTTTCAGAGAGTTCTTCATCATTTGCACATACCAGCTGGTGAAGGAGAGTGCAACCATCGCAGCAGAGATGCAGATGACGGCGATGGGAAAGGACACCTCGACAGACAGCGGCAAGACAAAAGCGCTGGACACGCCCATGGCGATGAACTGAGGGGAGGCCAGACGTGCATTTTAAAACGTGACAAAGTGCAGGCGACCATCAAAAGCAACTCATATGAGGAGCACACTGCTGTGATTGCAACGATAGAACATACGCTTACTTGCATGGACTTTCTCACAAACGCGACACTGTATCCTTGGCTGATGAGCGAATCGGAGAGATATCCGCCACAAAGCGCCGCCGGAATGGCAGCCGCCCAAGGGAACACATTGTACACCCACATCTGAAAGGAAAGCCGGGCGATGGGCCGTCGGGGTCATTGGCGCAAACATAGTGGATACCCTCTGGGCCGGGAGGAGAACACGAGTACCGTGGCGTGGGGATATTCTTCATGGAAGTATGTCGGCATCCATGAGAGTAACGTGTAGGAGGTGCCGCATGTGCACAGGTGAGCCAAGACCATGGCCCTGTGTCAAAGCACACAACAACAAACAGGTTCATGTATGTTTCATGTTAGATTGTATGTGTCATTATCTGTCTTGTGTTGATTCGGTTTTGATTAGATTTTAGTTTCATTGTGTTTTCTTTGTCTTCTTTTTTTTTTTTTTTTTTTTTGTCTACGTTTGTGCCATTAGATTATCGGGCCACCTGTGCTTGTCATCTTAGTCCCTTATGTCTTCCTATCTGACACTTACGTCTTGTCCAAGTGTTTCTCATTGTCTTCTCACTTGCTTGTATTTAAGTTTCCTTTTTTTTTTTTTTTTGTCCTTCTCAGTTCAGTGTGTTTTAGCAGTCTCTGTGTCATGTCAAGTATTTTTCATGGTGTGTGTTTAGTTACTTTGAGCCTTATTATTTGGGATTCCTGCCGATTTCACATTTTGGATAATTCACAGAATCTTATTTGCCCTTTGATTTTGAAAGTAAATTGTTTTTGGAGCACTTGTTGCTTCCCTGGATTTAGGTCCTAATCCAAACCAATCGTGACAGCATAGAAAAGTCCACATTTATTAAAAGACGCACTATTTTGCTAAACATTTTTTTTTTTTGCTACCTGTCCACGACCCACCCAAAATGGCTCTGCGACCCATTTCTGCGTCCTGATCCACCAGTTGAGAATCACCGGTCTCGAACAGGGGTGGCCGTGTCCAGTCCTCAAGGGCTGCTATCCTGTATGTTTCAGACGTTTCCCAGCTCCAAACGCCTGATTCAAATGACCAGGATCGTTATCAGGCTTCCGCGGAGCTTGCTGATGAGCAGACCATTTCAATCGGGTGTGTTGGAGGAGGGAAACATCTAAAATACACAGGGCAGTGGCCTTGAGGACCGGAGTTGTCCACCCCTGGGCTAGAGTGTCATCCCCAACACTGCCATCTAGTGGTCACTTGTCATAAATCCAAAATAAGACGAAAGAGGAAAAAGTATCTCCTTCCATTCATTGTGAGATTTATACAGTATTTTTGACATTACATTCTTATATGGAGTACAAGCACTGATATATACACAAATTTTACTGCAATACTATTAGAACGTGTAACCCATCCGTACCAGACGCATGGTTTTTTGAAGAGGCTCAGCAGATGTGTACATGCAAAACTCCTTGATTGGGAGTCATCTCTTCCTTCTTTCTGCTTTGGATAAGCTTTGCCTGAAAACATCATATGTCAAATATTTTACCGTTTGAAATGGTGTCACATGATAATGAAGTTAAATGAGTTTACTATTAAGCACAAAAAAAACCCAGCAGCGAGTGGGGTAATTTTTCAGGTAAGCATAAATTATTGGACAGTATACTTTTAATGATTTTGCCTTTATTGGTAACCATGATGAATTTGACATAAAGCCCTCAATGTGATCATTCAGAAGGGCTCTCCATTTGTCATTTACATCTCGCTGTTAATACTATGAAATAAAATCTGGACTTCTTTTGATCAGAAACCCAGAAATGTTCAGTTTTCAACAACAACAAAGGAAGTGACCTGGTCTGCCGTTTGCTTTTTTTTTTCCCTTTCATGGAAAAAATGAAAAAAAAAGTGTGGATTAAAAACTGCAAACTCCCCCTTTAAACACTTTCACAAAACTATTTAGCCACATCCGCAAATTCAAGAAAATACAACAGTTGAGAGAAGCAAAGATGCTGTCGTGAATACGCACCTTTCAGGAAACACTGCCACACAACGAGCGCCCAGAATCCAGACAGAAGACCAACAGCATAGAATACACTTTCCCAACCATATCGGTCCAGCAGTACGGAGCCCAGCAAGCCTGCCAACAGTATTCTGAAAGCACAGTCCAGAGGCATCACAAAGAACATGTTTTGCATCTTACGCATGTTGAGCAGCATGTGTGTGTGCTTATGTATGCAGGCGGGTTTTTTGTGTGCGCCGCATACCCAAGAGAGCTACCACTCTGCATGATGCTGTTTAAAAAGCTCTTCTCCCCTTCTGGTGCACGCTGTGCGATCAGACTGGCCAAAGATGGGAAGAATACACCTAGAAAACAGCAATGGACATTCCGCGGAGCTTGCTGATGAGCAGACCATTTCAATCGGGTGTGTTGGAGGAGGGAAACATCTAAAATACACAGGGCAGTGGCCTTGAGGACCGGAGTTGTCCACCCCTGGGCTAGAGTGTCATCCCCAACACTGCCATCTAGTGGTCACTTGTCATAAATCCAAAATAAGACGAAAGAGGAAAAAGTATCTCCTTCCATTCATTGTGAGATTTATACAGTATTTTTGACATTACATTCTTATATGGAGTACAAGCACTGATATATACACAAATTTTACTGCAATACTATTAGAACGTGTAACCCATCCGTACCAGACGCATGGTTTTTTGAAGAGGCTCAGCAGATGTGTACATGCAAAACTCCTTGATTGGGAGTCATCTCTTCCTTCTTTCTGCTTTGGATAAGCTTTGCCTGAAAACATCATATGTCAAATATTTTACCGTTTGAAATGGTGTCACATGATAATGAAGTTAAATGAGTTTACTATTAAGCACAAAAAAAACCCAGCAGCGAGTGGGGTAATTTTTCAGGTAAGCATAAATTATTGGACAGTATACTTTTAATGATTTTGCCTTTATTGGTAACCATGATGAATTTGACATAAAGCCCTCAATGTGATCATTCAGAAGGGCTCTCCATTTGTCATTTACATCTCGCTGTTAATACTATGAAATAAAATCTGGACTTCTTTTGATCAGAAACCCAGAAATGTTCAGTTTTCAACAACAACAAAGGAAGTGACCTGGTCTGCCGTTTGCTTTTTTTTTTCCCTTTCATGGAAAAAATGAAAAAAAAGTGTGGATTAAAAACTGCAAACTCCCCCTTTAAACACTTTCACAAAACTATTTAGCCACATCCGCAAATTCAAGAAAATACAACAGTTGAGAGAAGCAAAGATGCTGTCGTGAATACGCACCTTTCAGGAAACACTGCCACACAACGAGCGCCCAGAATCCAGACAGAAGACCAACAGCATAGAATACACTTTCCCAACCATATCGGTCCAGCAGTACGGAGCCCAGCAAGCCTGCCAACAGTATTCTGAAAGCACAGTCCAGAGGCATCACAAAGAACATGTTTTGCATCTTACGCATGTTGAGCAGCATGTGTGTGTGCTTATGTATGCAGGCGGGTTTTTTGTGTGCGCCGCATACCCAAGAGAGCTACCACTCTGCATGATGCTGTTTAAAAAGCTCTTCTCCCCTTCTGGTGCACGCTGTGCGATCAGACTGGCCAAAGATGGGAAGAATACACCTAGAAAACAGCAATGGACATTTAAATCGCATGCAGAGTGGTAGCACCAAATGAAGCCCTTCTAACACGATTTAATCCTATAAATAGGGATGGGCAGGTCCCGATACCAGGTATCAGTATCGGGCTGATACCAAGGTATCAGTAACTTATGAAGGATGCCAATAATAGCCAGCAATACTATTAGCACCTGGTGGCTGGGCCTACAACCACGGGACCTGACGGGTTCAGCCCCAAAAGGGCTCACCATCTGTGGGAGGGGCCAAACGGGTCGTGAGTCCTGTGAGCTGGGCAGTGGAAAAAGCCATGGACCTTGGCGGCTCGATCCCCGGCTACAGAAAGGAGCTCTAAGTACATGGAATGTCAGGAAGGAGCCTGAGCTGGTGTGTGAGGTAGAGATGTTCCGATTTGATATTGTCGGGCTCGCCTCCACCGACAGCTTGGTACCAGTTCACTGAGGAGGGGTTGGACACTCTTCCACTCTGAAGTTGCCCACGGTGAGAGGCGCAAAGCAGGTGTTGGCATACTTATTGCTCCCCGGCTTGGAGCCTGTACGTTGCGGTTTACCCCGGTGGACAAGAGAGCAGCCTGCCTCCACCTTCAGGTGGTGGGGCAGGTCCTGACTTTTGTTTGTGCCTCTGCACCAAACAAAAATTCAGAGTATCCACCCTTTTTGGAGTACTAGGAGGGTGTGCTATGGAGAGCGCTCCCTCCGGAGACTCCCTCATTCTGCTGGGGGACTTCAATGCTCATGTGGGCAATGACAGTGAGACGAGGAAGGGCCTGACTAGGAGGAACGGACCCCCACCGCTCCCCCATTACCTCCCCATTCGAACCCAAGGGCACTTGCTTTTTTTCGTGGTAAGAGAATAAAGTGTATTTGACCAACCACTACAGCAGGTGTCAGTGCCGCTCTCATTGTGAGAATGTTTGCAGAGTGTATGAGCTCAAAGGTCATTGGGTTTGTTTGCACCAAGGATGCGCACACAGCACAGTGACGGAGATAATGAAGTGCAGTGGACAAAGAGAGACAAAGAGTCACCATGGAAAAATATTTCACAGGGATGAAAAGAAAGGTGGAGAGAGACAAAAAAAAAAAACTAATGCCAGTAACGTTATTCTCGTTTATCTATTTTCTTGTACAGAGTTTGGGGGATGTGAAATATTTTCTTCTTCCTAGAGGGGACGTAACAGAAACTAATGGAGACACACAGCCGTAACGTCGGCATGTGCACAAAGAGAGTGGATGCAAAGTCTACACCTCCCTGTTAGAGTGCCAAGTTTTTTGTGATATAAAATAACAGGACCGACACTAATCATTTCCATATATTTTCTACCATAAATGTGACCTAAAACTTGTACAACACAACAGATTCAAAAAAAGGTTTACAAGAAGGGCGTGAAAATAAACAACCTAAAGCTCTACCATGTCAGCAGATGCATGTCCAATTACCTATTTCAAGCCTCTAGCACCAAACTGGATTTGTTTAATACCAACACAGGCTCACCTCAGTCCACCTTGTAGTCATATGACTATGTGCTGAAAGCGCCCACACTGTCGCAAATCTAGATTGCTAAAATTGTTCAGATAGCTCACCTTGCAGTATTCCCATGAAGACTCGGGCCATGGTCATTAGAGCCAGGGTGCGAGAGCCAAAGTGGGCCAAAGCTGGTGTGCTGGCTGTGACCACCGCCCACGAGGTGGCTGAGAAGAGCAGGACTCGCTCCCCTCCAATTCTACAAAATAGAACATTCAGCGTCAAAGTCAATTGAAACCTTGATTTAACCAGAAAAAAAAAAAAAAACACTTTCTCAAGGGTGGAAAAAAAGCCCCAACTGAGTGGGTCTCAAGCTCCTTGCAGAGTATAAAGAACATATGACTGTGAGTACTTTTATATTGAATTGCTAAATGTGTTGCTGCTCAAATATCCGTTTCTTTAATTGTTATATATGCAGTTCCAATCATGTGCTCGTGTTTGCTTTTGGCTAATTGACAAAAGCAAGAACTGTGCGTTTATGTTAAATACGCATTGTGTAATTCTCCTTCTTTGATGTTTGCTTTTAGAGTAAATTTGTATTGGGAGTGGCATTAAACAGCTTCGAGCCTCTTTTCAGAAGAATTGTTGACTATGGAGCATATTTTCTTCCTGTGTGCTTGAGTCAGAAAAGGTGCGTTTTCTATTCGGGCTCCAGTGCTCTGCATAGACCTACCCACGGACATTGGAGCCGCTACCGCAGAAGAAATGTTTAAAAAACGATTGAAGACGTCTTCATATACTCTCGCCTTGAGCCGAACTACATGTCAGCCTGTTTGAGTGCCGCTTCTATTCAGGCTCCTGGCCCCTCATCCTCGGCTTGGAAGCGGCTCACTGGATACTGCGCCCACTGACCGGGACAAGATCACAGGTGGACCACTTCCTCGGAGGCGCTGCTATGGAGATTTCAGCATTGACCAATGGAGATGGGACCCACATCATCAAAGGCATCTTCCTGCAGCGCTTCATCTGATTGAATGGACTTTCACACTAACTTGAAACATCGTATAGCATCATATTATGAGTTAAATGTTGCCCACTCAGCATCCGTTGCAGCATAGTCGTGCTGGAAAGGGGATTCCCCGATTAGTGGCCTCTTCTCAAGGTTTCTAATTTTTCCCCAGATGTTTTCTTTTTGGGGAGTTTCTCCTTGCCCTCCTGGGGGTTGTCAACTGTGGGCATGTGAAGCCCTTGGAGAGTTTTCTGTGATAAAGGGCTTTATCAATAAATTTGACTTGGCTTTTTGGCTGTGCAGATTCTTCCATTGACTTAAACCTTCAAGCGCCAATGTATGAAACTTGCAACAAACATTTGCAGTATGCCTTTATCTATAACCATTTCCATGCTACAATTTTTGGAAATACCTTTACTGGCTGTCTTTACTGATAAAAAAAAAAAAAAAAAAAAACTCTGGCGCCTCAAGTTTGAAGTGTGTCACTTAGGCACTTTGATGAAATGTATGCACTCCGGGTGGTGCAACCTTCAAATGGGGGCCTTCTCTGACAAATTGATGAAAAAAGGATCAGCGCCAGCTGACTTTTTTTCCATCACCTGCGAGGAGCATTTCCACATGTTGACGGTTGCATGGAAGCGCCGATCATAAAGAACTGCAGTCACTGGCCGTACGTGATAGATTTTGATTTGTGGGAATTTGATGCACCACTTGCGCAGTCTGTTGCTTGGCAACCTGATCAACTCTCGGTGTGCACCGTCTCCCAAGAATTCTGTTATGAGCACGGTATTCTGATTACATGGCTTTATTAGATTTATTAAAAAGTGAATGAGAAAACACACACTCCTTCAAAGTAGCCTGCAGATGAGCCGCGCACACTGCCAATAATCCCCGGACCTACGGTGTGAAGTTACTTTCACATTTAAAGTTTGACATATTTTGCACATAGAATTTGCGATGGAATTCGGGTCTCAGGAAAATCCCGTTCCGGAAATTAGCGCCATCCTCGGACTTTACATACATTTTTGGTGGTCGCGCATGTATTTCCAAGTTGAGTGTGTCAGAAGCCGAGACGAAGAAAGTGCGTAAGGAAGGCGCGTAAGAAATTGACTAAAGCGCAAGTGGGAGACTATGCCCCCATTTGCCAATCTTCTGCTTGTTGTGAAGTGAGTTGAGTTGACCTCACTGCCACCACACCGAGCTCGTATCTCAAGTTTGCACTCTCAAGTCAAAGCAAAAAATAAAAATAAAAACATTGATTGAATGTCAGCTTGTGTCTTGGAAAACTTGTAAATCACAAATCTGACATCTTTATTATGTGTGCCCTTGGAGCTCTCCCAAAATCAGGAGTAGAGTTTTACATTTGAGGCAACGTGACTATGACAAACCATTAGCACCTTTGAAGCACATACCTCAGGTCAAATTTTTGTGGATAAATCACATACAATATTGCCGTTGGGATTATGAGGGGTTTCCTGGACCCCAAAAGTGTGTGAAGCCTGCAGAAGTGAGCCAAGTAGAAAGACTTGCTTGTCACTCGCATGACCCCCCAGGATCTGAGTGCACGAGTAGCCCCAGAAGAATCCACCCAGGGCCAGGCCAGACTCGATCTTGTTCCAGCGGAACGTGGCTGCCATCGCCACCACACAAACGGGCATCGTCATCCGGGCACAGTACAACAGGCACGTCCCCACAAACAACACTGGCATCCATTTGCGGGCCTCTGCTCTGTTGTTGGCAAATAAAAACATTTTTGGACTCTCAGAAAATCTCACAATCGGTGATGAGTCGGTCACACACAAAATGTGCATGTGCGCCATTACTAATCCAACGGATTACTTTTTCAGTCAGGTCGTCAGGCTACAGTTATCCTTCAAAATAAATGTTACTAAGCAGAACATATTTACTTCAACTTGACGTCAGTATTGCAAGTACTGGTACCTTCCCCCACCAATCTCTCCCAAACGCATTTTGCATGCAACAAAAATATTTGTTAATGAATAATAAAATACAGGAGAACACTGGCACTCAACAAACAAGGTTACATTATGCAACACGTTCAGAAAGGGAAAGGTCTTGAACATAGTGAGGCATCTGGGGAGTCTTCAACTTCACATTCGCCTCTGAGGGAGTGACGTCACGTACGGGTCATGTCATGTTCTTTGACGACTCACGTAACATACGATATAAACTGCAAGGGGGGGAAGGAGAGATTTGAGTTTTCAAGCTGGAAGTACAGTCACTATTTTAAGTTTGTGTCGGCTAAAAACGACAGCAATATGTGCTGTCGACAGTGTTATCTAGCCTCAATAACTTTATGTCTACCCCCCTCTCCCCCAAAAAACAAAAACATGGACATCATCAGTAAAGTAAGCGAGATGCTTTTTAAAGCAATTCATCTGTAAAGTAACGACGTTACTTTTTAAAAGTAACTGTGGCGACGCTGCTCACAATCCAGATACAGTAGAGTAGAAAAGTATTGTCGATGCAAGTGAACTTGATTAAAGCGCACCTCACCTGGGCCACAGATGTTTGCCTTGTGGCTCCTCTGAAGTGTTGTTGGCAGAGCAGGCATCGCGCTCCAAGAAAGGAACGGCAAACTCATTTGAGCCATTTCCCATTATGTGGTTTTGTGCCATTTGGGAAATGGTCGTGTCTTCGGTCCTCCGCCCAGAGTAGTGCGCTGCCGTCACCCGATCGCAGGCGGACGAGCTAGACGAGTAAAACGTGTTAGAACAAAAACCCTGAAAAAGCTCCTCGGTGGTGCGATCAAGAGTGACGTCAGAGGTATTTAGAGGGAGTTGTTGAATAGGGTGTGTGTGTGTGTGTGTGTGTGTGTGTGTGTGTGTGTGTGTGTGTGTGTGTGTGTGTGTGTGTGTGTGTGAGAGAGAGAGAGAGGGAGAGAGAATGAAGTGCTTAAATGGGGGAGATGAGTCAATGCTCCAGAAATTGAGACAACGACAACGGGAGCCTGGACATATTTGGGACATTTTTATGACTCTTTTGAGGCGAAAGTAAAAATGCAACTTCATTTTGTTCTAGTTGGTGGCTGCAACATTTAAATGATACGTGTTACACTTTTCACCACACAGCAATCCGATTCTATTCGTCAGCTGGAATGCAATCGTTCACTGCCAGCCAGATCTGCAACAATTAATTACTCAAAAAGGAATCATTATCAAACTAACCGACAACCATTTTACGGTAATAATCGATTCATTGTCGACTGCTCTTGCCGAACATCAAACTGTCCAAATGCTCAGCTTCTCAACAGGGAATATTTTTAGATTTCTCCGCAGTTCATATCATGATAGTAGCCCTTCCCTTTGCATGAATCAGTAGCCAAGAAGTAGTTTTCAGTTTTAAAAAGGTTCTGAGTACAACTGTACGTCACTCCTTCTCACGCGATATTGTTTCATTGGTGGTTGTTTGATTTTGTGTAATCATTAGACACTAAGGACTACAGGAATGGGAGACTATTTACTGTTGAGAGATGATTAATTTGAGAACTGATTCGACTGTTCCTTGTTACACCTGGAGATAAAAAGTCAACCGCAATTGAGATCTTAATTGAGATATTGGGCTCGTATAAGGCCGGAAAACAAAAGGGACAGACAGCAGCTACATGGACGGCCCACCAAGACGCAACAGAATTGGAGAAGCAAGACGTTGCCCATCAAGACAGGTGGACAGAACTTTTGACGCCCCTCCGGTAATAACGCAGAAATAATTTGAATCTGACAAAAGTAAATGTAATGAAACGAACCGATAAAAATTAGACATTGCTGTTGAATTGTGGTTGAACGGATTTTTTTTCAAAAGCAAACTCATTAAACAGGCCTGGACAAAAACGATGCCACCAAAACCAAGGAGCCAAAAGCCACAGATGCAAACACCCAAGAATGGCCAAGAGCAAAACACTGAAACAACAAAATCCACAGCAAGCGTTGCTCTTTGTTGTTGCGTCATAGAGTAGATGTGACAACAATCCTGTTTGCAGCTTAATATCCAGAACAGTCTCAGAACATTTATTTTCATCATTCTTACCTCGGATTTATGAGGAAAAGTCTCTGGAAAAATCCGACGTTTCATCTCCTAGTGCCCTTTCAAATGTGAGGTCTTCGTTGCAGCTTTAACCTACTCTGGCGACATCAGCACATTGGTCCTGTGCTGGTTGGAGGAAGAAGAAAGGCACATCTTTTCAGTCCATTCTTCGAACCGCTAATTTTCACTGTTGACTCTTCTCTTAATAGGCCGTACTGAACACTTACAAAATGTATTTCTTGCAGCAGCCACCTTGGACGCAGCCCATTTGGAACAGGGAATAGTGCCGCCTTGAAATGCCACGGCAGGACATTGTCAACCAACGGGTTGGTCCACAGCGCTATGCGATACGCTTATTGCGGTCTGAAAATGCTTCAACGCGATCATCTATAGGCTCAGCCGGAGAACTAGGAGCAAGTTGTACCAGTTTATTAGTGGACACTTTGAACTGAAACTTGTTTGCCAATCAAAGAAGGGCTAACCGAGGAACAGAATATCAAAGGGTCGAGGAGGCTCAGAAATAAACAAGTTGTACTGTTTGACTCTAAATTGAAGGCGTTTGACCACATTTTCTCAAGGCGCTGTCACACCAAACTGTTCCCGAAAAAGGCCAGAACCCGCCTCCAAACATACAATCAGACTCACACGGCCATTCCAACAAGACTGAGCATTTTGGATTGTCTTTTTGGGCAAATCCTGTCACCATTGGTAATTCCAGTGATTAAGGAGTTACTGCAGTTGCAGTCATTCACTCAGTTCCCTAATCACTACAAAGGAACATTCAGAAGACATTTTAGGGAACTATCAGAGGGTGCACAACTTGAAACGGCCAAGCCAACCAAATCAGTATTTTGACAGAACTCTTATCACGTTGCTCTCATCACCCAGGGACAACAAAATCAAGACAAGAAAAAGAAATGTTTCACAAAAGTCATGTTTATTTGCAAATCTGCTCTTAGAAATGTGGGTTCGTAAAAGGGACGCAAGCACTCGAAGTCTCCCAAATGTCAGAGCAAGTCTCTGGAAAGACAACACGAGGTCGACAACTTACAGGATGGACAACTCGCAGCAAATTTGTCTTCCTTTAAAAAAAAAAAAAAAACAAAGAAAAACAACGCATACCAAAAGAGACGAGCGTGAGTGCAGACACTTGCATGCAGTTAAGCGCGAAAACAATGACCATTTAAAAAAAAAAAAAAAAAAAAAAGTCAGGGTGGGTGGGCACATTTGTTACCATTGATTGTTATGGATTACCAAAAGTCCCAATGTTGCAACTCATCATGACCACCATTCAACAGAAACACGGGTAAAACAAAGATACACAAATGAAGTATATTCAGCTCGACTTTATATATTTATAAATACATTTAGATTCCATCATTTCTTTCTCCCTCTCTCTTACACACGCGCGTGCACACACACACACACGGGCTCAGTCTAAAATGTCTTCGCTTGTCTGTCAAACAAACAGTCCGCTGGGGACGTGAGGGGGTTCCCCAAACCGGCACGGGTGCTCGATAGCTTACTCAAGGCGATTTCGATAAGCGTAAAATATTGGTGGTCATTTTGTCCACCGAAAGGTGCACTGACAACAACTTTAATGACATTCTGAACTTGGCTGTTACTCAAGATTTGAGGCCTGACATCGATGCACTTTGGAAGGCTGAAAGTAAGTTTCAGGAGCAACGCGAGTGTACGCCACACGAAATGCTGCCGTGCCACTTGGGCACGATGAAGAATATATTTTTGTGAAAATGAACACCTCCCTGTCGAAATATCTGAAGACGGCGAGTATGGCAAAGCATCACTTGACAGCTTGAGTTGAAAAGAGGCTGGTTTGGTCGATCGCTTCTTTGCCGTTCGCATGCGCCGCCACAACTTGAATGTCTTTTCATGTGGGGGACAACTGAGGGCGCTTGAGTTTGGACAGTGTGAGTCAGTTGAATGTGACAAGATTTGCAGACGGAGGTTTAAAACTTACAAATATTTGAAAGTGTTTATCGAACAGTACGTATTTACCGGTAGATTCACATTGACCTTTAAGTTGCACATGTTTAAATGATAAAACCGATTGAAATGATGAAATTGCTTTTCTGTTCAGAAATTTCAGACTGCTCGTATGATTTGTAACATGATGATCAAAAATGGAAATCTTTTCAAACACATAGATAAATATTGGCCATTTTGTGGGGTTGTTGGTTTTAAATAGTTCATTTGACCCCAAAAATACTGGTCTGGCCCACTATGGGGTGAATGTAGCCCCTGAACTCAAATGAGTTTGACCCCCCCGGTTTAAAGCTCCCCAGCTTTCACTCATTCCATGAACTCTCAGGCTGCTCATCCCAATTTCGCTCTTATCAAATCGCTTTCCAGCAATGCAGATAATTGACACAATAAATACTACAGACTCAAGGCCTTTTGAGAATAATATAAAATAGCATTTTGTATTTGTTGATTCCAACGTTAGTCTAAAAACCCAGTGTCTGTTTTTAAATGTTACTTTGTAAATAGTACAGCAATTTTCTTGTCTCGCCTCTATGACACAGGAATAACAAACGTAGCAATATTATTAGAGGTATTTTTTTTTTACCACACAGTATGTACGCTGTTGCACAAATCTAGATAGCAGGGTAAGCCAGTTTTGGGTATTCTGGTAGAACGCAGGCGTGACTTGTTTGCACAAAAAGCAACATGGTACCATGGAAAGCAGGTCAAGACCCGATTCACATTTTGAAATGGATTCCATTTTTCGAGCCACCCAGGAGTAATAAGCGCTATGATGCTGAAAATGAATTTGAAATCAGAAGTCAAGAAAAATCAAGACAACCATTTAAAAATACACTGGTGCCTTGAGAAACAAGTTTAATTCATGCTGTGACTATCCTCTTAACTCAAAACACATCTCAACTCATCATTCCCCTTTAAATAAACAGCAATGCCATTAATTGGTTCCAGTTCCCCCAATCACAAAAGGATTTCTATTTAAATCAATTTTTATTTTAAACAAGAAAAATCTAAAACTGTACTTTATAAAAACCTATATTCAGGATATAATTAAATAGAATCTAAAGAATCAAACAGTTTTTGCAACATTTGTTTTGCTTCAATGAAATGGAAATTATGCTGCCCCTTCTAATATGCGCACCTTGGCCACCAAGGGGCTGTAGAACACCCACACAGATAAATGACAGTAAGTTGCAGTTATACAATTCATTTTATGCAAATAATAAAGACTAATATAAGACTGCCAGAATTATTTTATTGTCTGTCTACATGTGTTGCGCCACTCTTTGCATTAAAATATCCATTTCATAAAGTGCTATAACACTGCGACACTGATGCTATTCGTTATTTGTTGTTTATGGCAATTTGTGGTTACTATCAAGCTAAATAGACTTTTAGGTAAAGCTATGTGGTTGTTTGGAATAACCCAGAGTTTGGCTGTCTGTTTTACATTAGATGCTTTTTCTGCCACTGTTACTTCCTGTGAAACAAATTGAGTCACGTGCCCACAAACAGATTCCTATCTCAAATGTTTGCTTCCAAGTGAAAGCACAATAATAATAACAATGATAATAATATTCATAATAATGAATAGAAAAATTGGCCAAATGACTGCTTGTATGTTGAAAAACTGGGTCACTCTTATCTCAAGGCACCTACCGGGTATGTATAGCGCCATGGTAACTTAGATGGTGCTGTTTGAATGCAACATAGTCACGATGACCAAATTCAGCCGAAAAAAAAAAACTCAGCAAAATCTAGTTTAGCACACTATCCAGCTGCAACAGCCGCGCAGTTGATCATAAATTAAGGGGGCCGACAAAGTCTGGTGGTTGGGCTCACTTGGGGTCCTCGATGGTTCCCGTACTCAAGTCAGTCATTTTCGGGTATTTCACTTTTTTCTGGTCCAGCTCGTTCTGCGCCCAGAGCAGTAACTTGAGGAGTTTGGCCAATTTGGGAGTGGACTCCCTGTTTTCATGGTCCAGCACAGCTTGGTTCACCTCACTCCACACCTGTGCAGCAAACATTTCTCATTTCCGTGCACTCTCACATTCAAATATTTGTTTTGTAGACAAAATATATACTTTTTCTTTCTGAAAATGGCTAAATATACTTTACTATCCCTTTAATAATGAATGACCATCTTGTTTCCCTTTTAGAAAACCTTTTATTCTTCAATTTAAACTGGGCTTAGCAGCACATTATTTCCCTCTCTAGAAACAGTTATCTCCCCAAAGATTGTGGTTGATGAGACAAAATGACATCAGAACCACAGTAGCCATTTTGCTGGCTAAAACAACTCACTTGAGTAGTGCCGGGTAGTATTGAAAAGAACATCTATCACGATATAGCCCATTTTATAGCACGATAATGATATACACAAATATATTTCCATTTATACTACTAAAAACATTATACAACACCCTCCGAGTGCTTACCTTCTCTCATTTTATTTTGAAATGAGATGAAACAGTCCTGTATGAAATGACAAATTCGCCCAGTGCTGTTGCTACATAAAATTATCAACACAATTGTCAAGAGCCTGACAGTTTTGTAAGAAGCATTTCCTTGAGTGGCCTAGCCGGGTTCCAGATTGCAATCCCATATTTTTTATATATATTAAAGAGAGAGAGAGAGAGAGAGAGAGAGAGAGAGAGAGAGAGAGAGAGAGAGAATTTATCTTATTGAATTTTGTATCAAGAGAAGCCATAAAATAGGTTTAGATCAATTATTGGCCAGGCCGATTATTGGCACTGACAATATGATGAATATCGGCATCTGCCTTTTTTTTTTTTTAAAAAGATCTGACGGCTGATAAAATAATCATGTCTCTTGTCTTTGATAGTAAGCATTCAGATATTTAAACAAAGAGCTGGAGTTTGTATAGTTTCTTTTCTTTTTTTTTCAGATGGCAATATTTTCCCTGTATAGTGAAAGTATAGAGTGTAAAGAGTTTCACTATACAGGGAAAACCCTGTATAGTGAAACTCCTCTAGAACGAAACCTACATGGGCGAAAATACCCCCTTATGTGAAAAAATCTTCATGCATTAACACAATTTCCATTCTACTGCCCCCCATACAACGAAAACCCCCCTGTTGCATTATACGAAATCATTTTCTCTGCTCTAGCCTCGCGAAGACATTCACTACAACGAAGTCTAATTCAACAGTGACCTCTACTGCTTCATTCAAAAAAAGGCAACAGCAACCACCACACTGGTTTACATAGTGAACGATGTTTATTTCGGTCACAGCTGCAAGTTTCCTGGACTCAACATACTCATAGCTGCTCTGCCATTGGCTTACCGAGCATCATCCTGGCCTCCGATTGGCCAAGAGGGACCTCACTGTCTATGTGTGTAGATACTGAAGCTAGATCCGTAGCATCCGATTAGCTGCTCAGAGTAAATTGCTTATGGCTCATCCGACATTCAAATAAACAAACGTTTCATCGAATGCTTTACGTGTTATCATGCTAAAATCACCCACGGGACGCTTCGTAGTCCTCAATGGCCATAGTTAGCTCTCGAAGGCTAAAAACCTTACGCTAACTGGAGCGCTTCTCTCTCTCATTAGCGCTCCAGTTAGCGTAAGGTTTTTAGCCTTCGAGAGCTAACTATGGCCATTGAGGACTACGAAGCGTCCCGTGGGTGATTTTAGCATGATAACACGTAAAGCATTCGATGAAACGTTTGTTTATTTGAATGTCGGATGAGCCATAAGCAATTTACTCTGAGCAGCTAATCGGATGCTACGGATCTAGCTTCAGTATCTACACACATAGACAGTGAGGTCCCTCTTGGCCAATCGGAGGCCAGGATGATGCTCGGTAAGCCAATGGCATACACATACGTTTGGGTGCGTGGGTATGTGTGTGTGTGTGCTTACATCTGAGATCAAATTTGCTACAGTGAAAAACCTCCTGTTGTGAAAAATTTCTTGCTGCAAACATGATTTCGTTGTAGAGGAGTTTCACTGTAACTGAAAATGAATATCATCGGTATCGGCCCAGGGAAGGGAAAAAAAAAAACAACAACAACAAAAAAACAAAATCAGCCTCTCTCTACCAAAATATAAAAGTTGATTTGAATAATGTCATGCTTTTCTTTTTATTGAATCAGAAGCTGGAGATTTATTCATTGTGCAAGAGATAATTCTGGTTATATGTAAATGTTGTTGGTCAACACAGCATTTTTGGAAAAGGTAGCCGGTGCGAGTACCTTCTGCCGTTGCATCATGTTGAGTAGGTCTCCAAAGGGCGACTCCTCGGGGTTGTCGAAGGCCAACAGGGCAAGCGTTCTCTCCATCTCCGTAAGACACTCGCGGCTCTCCTCCCCCTGCTCGGCCAGCTGCGTCTGGGCAAACTCCAGTGCCAACTCCGTCTCCCTTAGCCGGATGAGCTCGATCAAATGTTGCTGCTGTGCCAGGGGAATGACACACAAGTGATGAAACAAGGCTGGATCACGTATGGCCTTTCAAAAAAATAAAAAAATAGACAAATTGCTGCTAAGAAGCAGACAACATGTGCAAAAGAATGTTAAATTGTTTTTCCGTAAGAAAGGTGCGGCTAAAGGCAAGATTTTATATTAAGGCCATATTCCCCAGCCACAGTCATAAGTCGGGTTGGTACTAACCACGATGGTAGCATTTTTTGGTGCATTGGATACAAACGTGTTAAATAAGATCACACATTTTCATGACTCATTTTGGTGCCACCTTACAATTTGCCCTCTGTTTCGTCTTCACGTCATGCAACCTATATGGTGCTTGTGTGCTGTACTCTCCTCCCGGCATTGAATAAACGACTCAAAAGTCCTCTCCTTTCCCACATTTGAGGGCATTAAAGTATTCTGTGAGAACCGATAAAAAGTGATCGCTATAAACTACAGATTACCTCAGTGTAACAGTGATTTCTATTGAATTGTATTTCAAAACAAGCACTGCTGATATGATATACTGACATCGTGATACGCTTTTCACCCGTATTGGACAGCTCTCATATTAAAGATGAAATTTATTGCTCGTGTTCATATATAAAAAAATATATACATGGGAAGAGGAACTTGGAAAAATAATCCTATAATAAATCACAAAACTGGAGAGGACAAAAGTGTGCAATTATTTACATTTGTTTTTGTGTGTGTTCATTTCGAATATGTATAAAAAGATTAGATGACTTCTCAAAATCATTCATCCCTAGTTACGAGCATGGTCATATATCCAGGTTTCACTTACTTTACTTTGTGTGGCATGCAAATGTACCTGCAAATGAAAATACAAGTATCGGTTGGTGTCCAGCAGCTCAGGGTGCAGACTGTTGATGAGTGCGATGGCTTCCTGGATCTGTCCCTTCAGTATCATCTCTCGGATCTTTATCCTTTCATCCAGAGAGTCCAAGTCCACAGTGGGCTCGATACCAGACTCCATCCGGAACTTCTCTGCCGCCTCTTTGAATCCCTCTGAGTATAAGACAGACCAAAACATGGCACGTCACATTCAGAAACAATTGTATGTTCTGCTTTGTCGTGTCTATTCACTCCTCCAACGTGTTTTGAGGTGACTTACCGGTCACCAGGTAGTTCATAATGAGCCGGTTCATATCCGCTCTCTGAATGTGCACGTTGTTCAATTTGTCCATCCACTCGTCTTTTGTGATGTCTTCAGGCTTTTCAGCATAACTCATCATTGGAAGCCTGCAAGAGAGCGAAAGGCTCAAACCGGGAGACGGGAGCAAGACTGACACGGTTTGGCGGCTTCAAGTACCTACAGCAACACTAAACGGACAGCGGAGGAGAAGCATGCTACGTGCTGAATACAGGCTGGAAGGGGGGAAATAGCAGCTGTGCAATGATGACGAGAGAAAACGAGTTTTGAAGGTTTGTGAAAGCTTTCGAGCGCTGAACTGGTGTAAAAGTAGGGCGACAGATCCCAAAACAAATCCATTTCCTCACCCTAGGCAGGCAACACAACAGTCAGACTGCCCCGGCTAGTTAGCTCTCCGTTAGCTGCGAACCTACCGTCCAACGCGAGCTCCGGTGTTTATTTCCTTTCTTGTTGACGCGGAGAGGTATCAAGTGATGACACTTAGCCCGAGTGCTTTCTCCGAGAGGAGAACATTTGTAAATTACAACAGAGACCGCGATGAATCTTTCGGTGGCCTGCTAATGAGCCAAGCTAATGTGATATCCTCGCGATAGCAACGTACGTCATTCCTGCGAGATCACCCATTGGTTCGGCACGATGACGTCACGGTTGCTGTGGCAGGGCAACGTGTGGATTTGTAGGAAAAAAGCCTTTCTCAAAGAAATTATACATGCAACAATGATTGTATTGGATACATTGAAAATATATCTACTTTTCAGTATGAAAGTCAACATCAATTATTCATTTTTCATTCATTCATCTTCCGAACCGCTTCATCCTCACTAGGGTCGCGGGGGTGGGGGTGGGGGGGGGTGCTGGAGCCTATCCCAGCTGTCTTCGGGCAGTATATATATATATAGTGGGTGAAAATAAATCTTTCATTAGAAATGGGTTATAGAATTTCTCATACAACTGAAGTCATAATTAAAAACAATTCTTTGAACCAGCGCTTTTTTTTTTTTTGTTACACCACCCCCAGGAAGAAGAAAATATATATAAGCCCCCCCTGACAACGAAAGCCCCACTACCACCTACTGTAGTGTATGTACAGTACAATTACACTTTATTCTTTTACGGCCAAAATAAAACCCAAGCATGCTCTCTGGGGTGCCATGCAACCCCCACAGGCGTAATTTCTTTCAATACATTTGTGACACCAAGATATATTTATAATCTATTTTTAATGCTTATTCTTCATCCACCCTGTAGTACTATGCACATGTTCTCTCTTGATTTAGTTTATAATGGGCTGTTAACTAAAAATAAATAAGTAAATTATAGTGCTTTCAGGTGCTGAACAATTAATAAATCACATAATTTTCCATGATGAATCACATTTTTCTACTTCCTGTAGGTCCTCTGAAAATTGTCATGGATATTTACTTGAGTAAAATTTGGGAATTCATGTAAAATAATCAAATATCAAGTATATTTAGATTCAGTGACTGTCCTAATAGCTTTCTTTGAAAAGTGAATGGAATTCTTCTCACGTAAAAACAAGTGTTGAAAATAACAATCAAAACTGACTCATCTCAAAGAAACAATTCTCATAACTTCTTACTGACAGGTTTAGTTCTGCCCAAGAACACCACACTCGAGCAGTGTTGATTTGGGAGAGCTCATAGAGTTAACTTCAGCAGGGTATTTTGCTCTGAGAACTATTCAAGTTCAAGTTCAAGTTAACTTTATCGTCAAATGTGCTACATGTGCACCATACAGCACAGATGAAATTTCTTTCCTCAGAAGAGAGAGGAGCCGCTGCGGGTGTCCGCACCACCATCAAAAGAACAGTTAACAAAAAATGACATCAAATGTTCTTCCACTAGATGGCATAAGGTACATTCATTCATTCATTCATTTACCGAACCGCTTGATCCTCACTAAGGTCGCGGGGGTGCTGGAGCCTATCCCAGCTGTCTCCGGGCAGTAGGCGGGGGACACCCTGAATCGGTTGCCAGCCAATCGCAGGGCACACAGAGACGAACAACCATCCACGCTTACATTCAAACCTAGGGACAATTTAGAGTGTTCAACCAGCCTGCCATGCATGTTTTTGGAATGTGGGAGGAAACCAGAGCACCCGGAGAAAACCCACGCAGGCCCGGGGAGAACATGCAAACTCCACACAGGGAGGCCGGAGCTGGAATTGAACCCGGTACCTCTGCACTGTGAAGTCGACGTGCTAACCACTGGACTACCGGGCCACCCCGTTGTATTTCCCCACATAACTGAGTGGGGTTTGAACCAGGGTTGCCTGGACCGAACGCCGGCGTGAATACCTCTACACTACCAGTGACGGTGCATTAGGTACAATTAACGTATGTAACCACCTGGTTGCATTCATATCACAAAATAGCAAAGTTCAACTAAACTGAGTATGGAAATGTGTTCTATCTATCTGTCTATCTATCTATCTATCTATCTATCTATCTATCTATCTATCTATCTATCTATCTATCTATCTATCTATCTATCTATCTATCTATCTATCTATCTATCTATCTATCTATCTATCTCTCCGCCTGTCTGTCTGTCCATTGCATAACACGTAATTATAGAGTTAAATGAGTGAATGAATGAATTTCTTTCCATCCTCTGGGAAACCTCACCACAACTTGATTCAACTTGAGACCACCAACAAGCTTCAAGATAGAACAACAGGTCACTAAATTTGGTGTAAAGATGTTTTTAGAGATTAACTTAAAAAATAATATTTGTGGATATTTTTTTACGTTTGTATTTATTTGTACACATATAGAAAATTAATGGATTGATTATTATTTTTAATTTTTTTCACAAAAAAAAATGCTGATAATTTTCAGTTGCTAAAATGATCTAAATTTCCCCCTTAAAAAATTATCAGTGTATTACATGTTCATCGTGTAACCAATGGGTTAGGGTGGTCCACATTTTCATGGCAAAAAAAAAGTTTGTCGGATTCGTCGGGCCGGGTCGGAATTCTTGTCGATACTATGGTACAAGGTTCTGTGCAAAATTTCATTCCGATCTGATGATATTTTCCCGTCCCGCAAAGCGGCCAAAGTTTCCACCATAACAACTGGTCTCAATAGGGTGAACATGTGTATTTTAACCGTGTA